ATTGCGCTGGATGCGAAAACAAAATTAGGCTTTATTGATGGATAGATTGAACCTCAAGGAATAGGAGATGCGGATTATGAAAAATGGAAGAAAGTGGAATAGATGATTATTTCATGGATTTTGAATTCATTATCTAAAGATATTGTTGATGCTTTCATATATGCTGAATCGACGAAGGAGTTGCGGGAATAAATGTCTCAAAAGGTTTGGTGAGAGCAATTGTCCATTGGTCTATCAGTTGCAAAGAGAAATATCAAACTTAAAACAAAGTAATGATGAAGTGATGATGTACTTTAATAAGCTGAAAAAGATGTGGGATGAGTATAGTTTGGTGCGTCAGTTAGTGTGTAAATGGACATAATCCCATTTTTAATCCATTATATCGGTTATTTTCCAGCAAAGGTCCACCTTTTGGCAGACATCAAACTTAGTTCATTAATTTTAAAAATTCATCAAATAAGGTACACTAATCATTAATGGCAAAAAAATTTCGTCATTTTTTTTTCTGGTCTAATTTGAAAGTGGCCTGGTGTCCGTTTCAAGTGGGTGACCGACCGTTGGATTCTTCTTGTCCAGACAATCGTATCCCTAAACTTTTAGCCCAATTACAGTTTGTTTGCCCACTCAATTTTTCATCTAAAATAATTTAAGTAATTTTTTGTCCCGTTTAATTACGACCCCATGTAGTATCCGATTTAGGTGGGTGACCCACTATCAAATTCTTCTACTCAACCCGTCATACTCACGAAATTTAATCTCAATCGGAGTTTGTTTGCCTGCTCAATATGTCATCCAAAATAACCTTAGCTCAAAGTCGTCGTTATCTGTCTAGGGGACATTTTGGTGCATTATGGTGTACGTTTTAATCGGGTGACGCACCGTTAGATTTGCCTTATCAAGATGATCGCAACACAATTTTTTAGTTAAATTAGATTTCATTTGCCCAGTCAATTATTCGTCCAAGATAATTTGAGTTGTTCTATTTTTAGCTTAATTATGGCGTCGTCTCACGTCAGTTTTAAGTATTTGATCCACCATTGAATTCTATGTGTCTAGACGGTCATATAGCCAAAATTTCAGATAAAATGGCGTTTGCCTGCTTAATCAATTGGCCGTTCAAAATTATATGCACAAACTACATTGTCGGCCCGTGATTAGCCCACTTCAAGCCCGTAATAATCTGGCCTTTATCTTGCCACTATTTATTAGTGTACTTCATTTGCTGAATTTGTCAAATTAATGGACTAAAAATCTGGCCTTTATCTTGCCACTATTTATTAGTGTACTTTATTTTGATTTTTGCCTTATATGCTAAAAAGATGGACCTTTGCTGAAAAATAACTAATATAATGGACTAAAAATAAAATTTTGTCCTAATTTTACATCACTGTTGAGCCAAAGTTTGAGAGACAAATCTCGACCCAGCTCACTTCAAATCCATCATAATTACGAAGGAAGAACAAACACATATGCTCTGCTCTAATAAAATCAGAAAATTCATACAAAAAACATTTCATAAAAGAAGAGCTCAGCATAACTCACATAGCCACATTAAACTGACAACAAATTAATCAAAATTTTTGCACAAACCAAAAAGTTCCATGCAACCCATATGAATGACCAATTGAAATACGACAAAGCGGTTATTAGTACAATTTATAAATACAATAAACAAAAGTTCAGTATACTATATAATGCAAAACAAAACAAGAAATGCTAAATCTTGAGTTGGTGCCAAAAGGTGTGCATTGAAAAAGATTTTGGTGCTCTTAAAAAAGTACAGTTGTAAAGGGCAATAAATAAGTATGGACAAAATCTTTTTAGAAAAAGCAGACAAGTTTGTTCGTTTCATTATTAGAGTTAAAATATAAGTGGATTTTCCAAGTTAATTTCTAAGGAGGATACAAATACATTTGGTCAAAACGGGATTTTTTGGTTAACTATGGTTAATTTAGAAAAATAAGATACGATTAGTTGTTAGTAGGAATTAATATTAAAATAATATTTAAAATAAAATAATTACAATTGATTTGATATAAATAGATTAAAATGATTTGTTAACACATTTAATGCAAGACGCAACATGTTCAAACGACAATTTCCCACAAGTGCATCAATACAAGTCTCAGCAGCTTCTTCTAAATTGAAGTGCTAGATGATATAGCACCTGGAATAGCTCGGTGGACCGGCCTAAATGGTCCGCTTCAATAAGATTGATTCAAAGAAGTTCAAGCATGGTATAAACGTCTGACCTAGTTAAGGAGCTCGCTTAGGCAGCTCAGGGTACAGACTGACCTAATGAGAGGATAAGAGGTTGGGCTCCCTCAGGAGCTCGAATATATGAAGAGGATACCTCACGACCTTGAGGTCGTTCAGATAGAGGTTGGGGTCTGACCTGGACATAACCAGAGGCAAGTAGGTCACGAGGTCGTGGTTACAACCTAAGGTCCTGAGGTTAGATGGTAAGAGGGGACAAAGTTCTGCAAGGATGTAAAGTAAATCTTTCTAAGGAGTCTAAGATTCTATAGACATGGCATGCTAAGCAAGTAGATACGGTTGGATCTCTTTCCTAACCAGAATTTTATTGGGGCATCAAGACACTCTAATATATAATAAGGGTGATCAAGTTACTTTACATAAGAAACATTACTTACGTGTTGTTGATATGTGAGTTTGTATCAACGATTAATTAAGAACCAACTATGGATTGGAGAAAATATCGTAAAATCAAAACGGGATTGGATGGTGAATATAGAGAATTTTAGGCTTAAACCGAGGTCGGCCTCCGAGAACTTCGAGGTCAACCTTTAGGTTGTGTTGCCTGAATTTATCGCAAATGATTGTGTTTTTTTTCTTACAATTTTTTGGCTATTTGCAAGAAGCTATCAATTATTTTTTGTGCTTTCAGCTTTGCTTACTACCGCTCCCCGTCATAAAGGAAACATATGACTATTTATGGCTAAACACTCCCGGTTACTATTCCTGCACTGTTCAATGAGTCATACTGCACCATGAACTGGAATGAAGGGTATTAAATGAGGCGTGGTTGACTATAAAAGATGATGATTATCGTCCATTACATGTTGATTGACGGGCTCTTAACAAGGACATGCTGCTCTAGGACACTTGAGTATATTAACTAGTTCAATAAGTTAATCAAAACTGGTAAGTTCAATTAATCATCCGTTATCAATTGATTCAACAAGCTAACAAACTATTATCCAAATTGTGATCCGTTTCCATTAATCATATTTATTAGTTTCGTCAAATCTTTCTTTCTCTACTTTTGATGCCAAAGGGGATATATAAAAGCGCGAAAGGAAAAAAAGAGAAAAAGACGAAAGCTATCAAGATTAGGGT